AGAAGGGAAGGCAACTTGGGAAAAGAATGCGACTCCAGCAGTCTCCCATCTCCTTCTTTCCTCCTCCATAGACTTGGTTGGTGACCTTAGTCAAGTTACTCTCTTCCATCTGCAGATTCAGGTAATAGTGCAGGTAGAGTTGCCAACCTCCAGGTGAGGCCTGGGGATCTCCCAGAATTGCACCTGATCTCCAGACTGCAGAGATCAGCTATCCTGGAGAATATGAAGAGAGTTTGGATTTATTCCCCGTCCTTCACTCGGAGTCTCAGAGCTGCTTACAATCTCATTTCCCTCCCCACAACAGACACCCTGAGAGGTAGGTGGGGCTGAGAGAGCTCTCTCGAGAACTGCTCTTGAGAGAACAGCTCTGAGAGAACTTGTGACTGACCCAAGGTCACCCAGCTGACTGCATGTGGAGAACGGGGGAATCAAACCCAGTTCTCCCAGATTAGAGTCCGCGCTCTTAACCACTACATCAGACTGGCTTTGGAGGGTGGACTCTGTGGCATTATAGCATGCTGAGGTCCCTCCTCTCCCCAAACCCCACCCTCCCTAGAGTCCGCCCCCAAGTCTCCAGGAATTTCCCAGACCAGAGCTTGCAACCTGAAATACAGGGCTGTTGCCTGTCTTATGACAGTATAATGTGTATGCAATTATAATGAAACACATTGCAAGCCCTATATGAAAATTAAATATTATTGTTTGCTTCCAGTCCTCTGAGGCTGTTTGGAGACTGTGGTTGAGGACAGTGGGCCCGATTCTGAACCCCCACCCATTCTCCACCTTCACTCAAGCAAGCTTCATCTCTGTACGGGGACTTTGGCGCATGTGAACCAGACTGATGGGGACTCAGGAGGCAGGCAGACATCCGGGCAGGGTGGGGGGGGTCTCTAGCATACAGGCAATCCCCCCCCCCTGTAAGAGAAACAGAGTAAATGCAGAAATCGGGAAGGGAAGGGGGATGTATGGGGGCTGGAGGGAGTGAAGCTAATTAAAACACTATGATTAAACGAAGCCACAAACGTTTCCCCCCAACCGCCACCAAATGACAGAGGAAAGGGTGAATCCTCTCTTCCCTCCCAGTGACCTATTTTTGCTTCCCAATAGGAGGGGGAAGCCGGGGGGGGGGGAGGGAGGGCCCACCATTATTCAAGCTGATAAATAGGTCCTGACCTATATCACATAAAGTGGAGCCCTTTTCCCACTCATCTTGGGGCCCCTCCCTGTGGAAAACCGGGAGTGGTCGCTTGAGTGCCAGTGCTGGGAAAGAGGGAAAGTCGCTGCGATGTTGGGTCTTCTGGGGCCGGCTGCAGGGCAAAAACGGTGGCACGGCAACCGTGGGAGGGAGGTGGCTTTGCATGTGGCAGGCAGGTCACCACTGCGGCTCCGTGTGTGTCCAGGTAAATTCACACCTGGTGTCACTGGGCAGCTGCCCAAGCCTCCGGTCGTGTTTAATCCTATACTAATTCAGGTCCGGGAGCTGCGGTGGCTCAAGTGGTTAAGACACTGAACTGCAGGCTGTGGAAGGCCGGTAGTTCAGCAGTTCGAGACCCAGGTGCTGCATGATGGAGTGAGCTCCCATCTCTAGTTTCAGCTCCTGCCAACCTAGCAGTTCGAAAGCAAGAAATTGCAAGTAGATAAATAGGGACCACTTCGGTGGGAAGGAAACAGCGTTCCGTGCGCCTGGGTGTTTAGTCATGCCGGCCACGTGACCACGGAAACGTCTTCGGACAGTGCTGGCTCTTCGGCTTTGAAACGGAGATGAGCACCGCAACCCTAGAGTCGGATTTGACTGGCTTTCGAGCAAGGGAAACTTTACCTTTACTTTAATTCAGGTCCAGAGTAGCCTGATCACGTCAGATCTCAGCCAGGAACTGGCAACCCGAGATCCAAGCCTGGATAAACAATTTCTTTCAATGCGAAGGTTTTACTTCGCTGTTCTTATAGGAAATTAAGACAGATATAAAGCAAAGTAGCAGTCAGCATTAAGGAGAAAGGCCACCATGATGTGCCCTGACCCGGATGGCCTAGGCTAGCCTGATCTCATCAGCTCATGGACGCCAAGCACGGTAAGCCCTGGTTTGTACGAGGGAACGGAATTATTAACCGAAGTTCATCTCGAACCAGGCCCGGTTCACGGTTCGCGAACCTCGGTTCGTGCCATCCCACCCTCACAAGCTCCCACGAACCTCCCATGAACCAACCAGGTGGATTTGTGTGGTTCGTGTCAGCAGACACGCTGGTGCCGGTGGCAGGGCTTGGAGACGGCATTTAAAGAGACCACAGTCCCTTTAAATGCTTTCTCCAAGCCGCTTGCCAAAACTATTCAAAGGGATCCCTTTAAATGGTTTTCGCAAGCCATGTGGCACGGTTCGCAAGTGAACTGAGAAGGCATTTAAATGCCTTCTCAGTTGACCTGCTGGGTCATGCCGCCACGGTCACCCAGCTGGCTTCATGCAGAGGTGTGGGGGAATCAAACCCAGTTCTCCAGATTAGAGTCCTGTCATTCTTAACCACTATGCCGAACTGGCTCTCGAAGGGAACCCTTAAAATGGACCTGTCGAACCACAAACCGGGCCGAACTTCCATTTTTACGGTTCGTGTCCATCCCTAGTTAGTCCTTGGATGGGAGACCACCAAGGAAAGCCAGGGTTGCGATGCAGAGGCAGGAAACAGCCCAGGGTTGCGATGCAGAGGCAGGCAACCGCAGACTACCCCTGAACGTCTCTGGCCTTGGAAAACGTATGGGGTCCACTTGACGGCACTTTCGAACTACCAGTCCATGAGAGGATCTGTCCTCTTATCCTATGAGCGCCGAGTTTCCTCAGGGGCTTTTGATGAGGAGCCACGTCAAAAGCTTTTTGTAAGTCCCGGGTATCTAAGGTCTCTTGGCTCACCCTTCTCTAAGTGTCTGTTAACCTTCCCAAAGGAAAAAGAGGATTTCCCTTCATAGAAGTCAGGCTTATTCCTCATCAGTTGGACTCATCCCTAAGCATGTTGAATCACTCTTCTTTGAATAACAGTTGCTGCTCGACTTGCTGGGACTTCCGCCAATTGTTCCCAGAAAAAAGAAAAGATAAAAAGAAAAGAAAAATTGCCACCGGCCTCTGTGCTGGTACATGACTTCCAGATACATCCTATTGTACAGAGTTCCCAGAGATTCCTAGAGCTACCCATAATTGCTTCCAGGTTGTACCACGAAGTGAAGTAGGGATGTCAGTGACATCACTTCCCCCAACGTCTCCGCCCCCGCAACCTTCTCACTGGTTACCCGGCAACTCTAGTTGCCTCCATTTACCCAGAAGAGATGTTAGGCCCGCTGACCTATAATTTCTGGTAACTCCTCTGAATCCATTTTTTAAACTTGTGTTCACATTTGCTGCTTTACAGTACTCTAGCCAGGAAGGCAGGTTTATCAACTAATGGTAGCTTTGTTGGGCAGAAGGAGTGGGATACAAATGCATAAAATCAGAGCTATTTTTGGGCAGGAACGCACAGGAACGGAGTTCCGGCTGGCTCCTGAGCTGGCCACGCCCAGCAGGAACTCATTAGCATAATAGGCCACACCCAACAGCAGAAACTCATTAGGATTGGCTACATTAGGGGTGTGTGGCCTAACATGCAAAGGAGTTCCTGCTCCAAAAAAAGGCCCTGGGTTTTGACAACAAACAAGGTAAACAGAATAACAAGCAAAAGGTGGGTGTGGCTGGATGACCACACTTCTGGTAACATGGGGGTGCGGCCTAATGTGCTAATGAGCTGTGCTGTCAGGGTTGTGGCCTAATATGCTAATGATTTTCTGCTGTTGGGTGTGGCCTATTATGCTAATGAGTTCCTGCTGGGCTTTTTCTACAAAAAGAGCCCTGCATAAAATAAAATTAAAAGTTGCATATTTTTCAAGTAGCAAATTAGTCCAGTTACAAGAAAGTGGTGTTTTGTTTTTTATTATTAAAGAGATGGCAGTCCTGGGAAGTGTTAATAGTTCACAGAGGACAACCTTGTGTTTTTGCAATTGTATTTTAAGTGGGAAAGATGGATGCAAATTAGGTCTGAAAAAGGACAGGAAACTGTCTTACACTGATTCAGACCATTGGTTTATCAAGGCCAGCATTATCTGCTCAGACTGGCAGCAGCTCTCCATGGAGATAAATCAAGACGGGTAGCTGTGTGAGTCTGTCTGTAGCAGGAGAAAAGAGCAAGAGTCCAGGAGCACCTTAAAGACTTAACACAATCTATGGCAGGGTAGGAGCTTCCGTGAGTGCTCGCTTAAGGTTGGCGGATTTCCATTTTGTATGGCTAATCGTGGTGCTTTCCATGGAGCTGGATCAAGATGGGTAGCCGTGTGAGTCTGTCTGTAGCAGTAGAAAAGAGCAAGAGTCCAGTGGCACCTTAGGGACTAACAGGTCTTTTTTTGTACAAAAAGCCCAGCAGGAACTCATTAGCATAACAGACCACACCCAACAGCAGGAACTCATTAGCATATTAGGCCACACCCCTATGTCTTCCCTTGGCTTGCCTGGGCGCCCCACGGCTGGGGGAGCCCGGGGAAAGCCAGCCCTTAGAGGGGGGGGGCAGTTTAAACTGCCTTTCCTTGGCTTGCCCGGGCAAGCGGGCCCTTGGACAGGCTGGGGAAGGCATGGGGAGGCAATTAAATGCCTCCCCGATCCTTCTAGGACCCACCTGGCCTGCCCACCTCAGAGTCACCGGGGGGGGTTCGCTCTCCAGGCCTTCCCTCTGTAGCCAGGCACGCAGAGGTTTTGGCTGTAGTGGGCGTGGCCAACTCTGAAGCCAGCCGGAACTCTGTTCCTGTGCGTTCCTGCCCAAAAATAGCCCTGGGGACTAACAAAATTTGTGGCATGGTACTGGCAGAGTAGGAGCTTTTGTAAGTCACTGCTCACTTCTTCAGATCCCTGCATTGTGCAGGAGGTTGGACTAGATGATCCTTGAGGTGCCTTCCAGCTGTAGGTCTCTGTGGCAACTGCTGTTTGTTTCTGTGGCAGGACCTGAGCGAGTTCAACGCCACAGCGGTTAAGAGCCCCACCAACACTGTCACAGTGCAGAACCTCAAAGCTGGCACCATTTACGTCTTCCAGGTGCGGGCACGCACGGTGGCGGGCTACGGGCGCTACAGTGGCAAAATGTACTTCCAGACCATGACGGAAGGTGAGAACCAGGCGCACAGCCGGGGCCGGAATCAGACGTGCTAAAGCCCCCAAATATGATAATTTTTTCATTTACTTGCAATCTGGCCCCTAAACTATAGCTTACTTAGCTTGTGCACAAATCCGGCTCTGTGGATAGCTTCCCTGGGGCAAACGAGGCTGGGATTCCACCGGGGCCAGTGCAGTCATATACCGCCGTGCCTTAACACCCTCCTTCTCGGTTTTCCCCCGCAGCCGAATATCAAACCAGCATCCAGGAGAAGCTCCCCCTAATCATTGGCTCCTCGGCCGCAGGGCTGGTTTTCCTCATCGCCCTGGTCGTCATCATCCTGGTGTGCAACAGGTAGGGAAACTGGGAGGGGCTCCGAAAAGGGGGCGGAGTCAAGGCCAGACTAGCCCCCAAAAGAGAGGTGAAGCGGCTGCTGCCGCCTGGCTTTCTTCGTGACCTCGGTACATGGTGGCTGGAGAACCAAAACAACGTCACAGAGGAAAGAGGCCATGGCGTGTTTCTTTCATTGGCTCCTGCACATTGCAAAGGGGGAAGATAGGCTGCGGGGGAAAGGATACAGAGTACACCTCTGCGGCATCCGGTGCAGGGTCACACGTGCACATGCGTGCGACGGTGCCTCTCTGGTCCCAGCTCTCATTGCGGCTGCATGTTTCGCCAGCGGGCTGCGCACGAGGCATGAGTGCCCACCCAGCCTTGTGTGTGTGGGGGGGAAGGCTGGGGGGGCGGGGATATGCTCTTTCTCTGGGCTGAGAGTTGAAGCCCAGCCTTGCCCCCTCCCCTGCTCTGCTAGTCCATCTGCCTCCCGCTCAGCACGGTGCTCTCCTTCCAGAAGACGAGGATTTGAGCGCGCAGACTCCGAGTACACCGACAAGCTTCAGCACTACACAAGCGGCCACAGTACGTACTCTTTGACCGACCCGGGGGGATTGGGGGGGGTGCGCCCCGGGTTTTCTTCTGCACCTTTTTTCCCTTGGGAGCTGCTGCTTTGTGGTCCCGTATGACCAGCCAGCCCTGACCGGATGGCCTTGACTAGCCCTACCTAGTTAGTTCTCGGAAGCTGAGCATGGTTCGTACTTCAGTGGGAGACCACCGAGGAATCCCAGGGTCGGGAGGCAGGGGGAAGCAATGGCAAACCACCTCTGAATGTCTTTTGCCTTGAAACCTCTATGGGGTCACCGTAGACTTGACCACAAAATAAATAAATAAGTTACCAGCCTGCTTCCTGCCTTCTCTGTTTTTCTGGAAAAGCACCAGTCTAGGTTAGGTATCTTCTGTAGCCCCTGTCCCACCTCACTTTGGAACCCTACTTTGTCCTCTGGAAGGCCAGATTCTCTAATGCTGAATACCCATTCGTTATTTGGGTCAACTAAGCCCATCATCCCATCGGCTCTTTGCATATTGGGGCATATTGGATGTTCCTCTTCTGCCTAGATGGCTCTACTGCCCCAGAATGTGAAAGAGGAATCCAAAAAAGTGATTGCCGGCTCTTGAGAGAGAGAGAGACTCATTCGACTAAGGGCCAAATGACACGCGGTGGTGGGAATCTGTGGTTAGATCCCCCGATATGATATGTGATTTGATGGCAAAGGCAGCTGGCAGGGAGAGGGGGAAATATCAGTCTGGCTACAGTGTTTGGGGAGGGGGCAACTCCATCTTAACCCTGTGCGCCATTCCCCTGATCAAAATGAGAAAAATTGCCCTAAGCCCCAGAAAGGAAAGAAGACCATTTATATTGTGCCTGTCTTTTTCTCTGCTAGGGCATAAAAGAGCCCTGGGTGAGGCAGTTTTAATTAGGAGAACCAAGGAGGCGGGAGAGCTAACCGCCCCCTCTCCAGCCTCACTGCCCTAGTCTATTGCTTTTTTTCTCCCTCTAGGGCCCAGTGTTGTTTGACCTGAAATTCCCCACCCTATGGAATGGGAAAGTGGAACATCCAAATAGCAAAACTTAAAAAAAAAAGTTTCTGGATCACATCTGATTCCTGATAATACGTGGCTATAGCCATAGGGAACACTCCCAATTCAGTTGTGCGTAAGTGTACATCATAAGAACATAAGAGACGCCAATGTTAGATCAGGCCAAAGGCCCATCCAGTCCAACAGTCTGTCACACAGCGGCCAAAAATACCAGGTGCCATCAGGAGGTCCACCAGTGGGGCCAGGACATTAGAAGCCCTCCCCCTGTTGACCCCCCCCCCCAAGCACCAAGAAGACAGAGCATCACTTGCCCCAGAGCCCCTATCTATACCTTGTAGCTAATAGCCACTGATGGACCTCTGCTCCATATGTTTATCTAATTCCCTTTTGAAGCCGTCCATGCTTGTAGCCGCCACCACCTCCTGTGGCAGTGAATTCCATGTGTTAATCACTCTTTGGCTGAAGAAGTACTTCCTTTGATCTGTTCTAACCCGACCGCGCAGCAGTTTCATGGAGTGCCCATGAGTTCTTGTATTGTGAGAAAGGGAGAAAAGTACCTCTTTCTCTACCTGCTCTATCCCATGCATAATCTTATAAACCTCAATCATGTCACCCCTCAATCGTCATTTCTCCAAGTTAAAAAGCCCTAAGCGTTTTAACCTTTCCTCATAGGGAAAGTGTACATTTGAGGCACAGATCTGTGCAGTCACATCACAGCACCAGTACATGTGTGCAAGAGTTTGAAAGTTAGGCTTGGACTGGGGAAACCTGGGTTCAGGTCTTTGCTTAACCATGAAGCTCAGTGGCTCAAGCCGTCAGTTGCTAACCTGAGCCATCTCACAGGGGTGTTGTAAGGGGCAAATGGGTTAACGCTCGACGTTAACGCTGTCCCGTGCTTCTTGGAAGAAGGGTGGGGCTGCATACACGAGTAATAATCAATGCTGCCCTTTCCCACTTCCGAGTAGTGACCCCCGGCATGAAGATCTACATTGACCCCTTCACCTACGAGGACCCCAACGAAGCTGTCCGAGAGTTTGCGAAGGAAATCGACATCTCGTGCGTCAAAATCGAGCAGGTGATTGGTGCAGGTAAGTCCTTTGGTCCCCTCCTTCTCAGTACCCAGATGGGAGGAGCATGCATTGATTGGCTGGTGGGAAAGGGGGAGTGGCTAGGACAAGGACCAGCCCAAAGAAGGCTTCACCTGTCTTTGGGTGGCTCTGAATGAAAAAAATGTTGGATGAAGAGATGGGGACTTTGCCTTGACTTCAAGCTGAGCCAAGAGGCAGGGCAAAAACATTGAACGGGACACCCTGATGCCCCTGCGATCAGGGTGGGGCCGAGCGGGTGCCCTGACCTCCGTGTCCTCCCATTGGTTCTTTGCCCCAGGGGAATTCGGCGAGGTGTGCAGTGGCCACTTGAAGTTGCCCGGCAAGAGGGAAAGCTTTGTGGCCATCAAGACCCTGAAGTCTGGCTACACCGAGAAGCAGCGTCGGGATTTCCTGAGTGAGGCCAGCATCATGGGACAGTTTGACCACCCCAACGTCATCCACCTGGAGGGGGTGGTCACCAAGAGCACCCCAGTCATGATTGTGACGGAGTTCATGGAGAATGGCTCACTAGATTCCTTCCTGCGGGTATGCCACAGTTCTCTCTCTCTCTCTCTCTCTCTCTCTCTCTCTCTGTCTGTCTCCCTCTCTTGTTTTCTGTCTCTCTCTGTATGCGTATATAAGAGGAACTTCTCAATTATGGACAAAGAGAATGAGACTGATAATCGGTCTTAGCCTACTGAATGTCTCAGCAATAAATTTGTTTTACAGCAATGAACAAAACCACAAACGAGCTGGTGTACTTGAAGGAATACCACCACCAATGCTCCCTCTAAGCTGTGGAGTCTTGTGAGCAAAAATTCTACTCTGTGAGCTACTGGCATTAAAGTTGTGAGAGAGCGATTTGGCTGCTGTGTAAATCAGTTTGCTCTGGAGCCATCCTTCCTGAGCTAAGACAAAAATCTGTGAGCTGGAGGCTAAAAAACTGTGAGCTAGCTCACACTAACTCATCTTAGAGGGAACATTGACCACCACCCATAGTGCCCAGCCCACCAGTTGAGATCTTTTTCCAGCCACGATCTCTGCACCTTCACCCGCGGAGGTGAAGCCTGGAGACAGGACCTTTTTGGTGGTGGGGTGCCTTGCCTCTGGAATTCTCCCCTTGAGGCTCACCTGACTTCCCTGTTACCTTTTAGGCCCCAGACCAAAACATTTTTCTTTAGCCAGGCTTTTAACTGCAAGCTTCCATCCATTTGAGCTATTATTATGGTCTGCCTCTCTAGCCCAAGGGCTGTTCTTCAACATGTTTTTACAGCTTGTGCTCATGTTGATAATATTAATGTTTTTGATGGTTTTTTGTTGTATTGTTTTTCTCCTATCTCGAGCGGGTCTCCGGAGAGGCGGCATATAAAATTTTCCAAAGAAACACATAATGAGCCACGAGGCTCAGTGAAATAAACAAAAGCACACATGGTTTGCAGGGCGGGCCGATGGCTCAGAGGAGAAGCTTTTCTGTTTGATCCTTGCTATTTCCAGCTATGGCATCTCACAGAGCAGGTGAAAGATGAAACCCTGGAGAGTCACAGAGTAGACAGTACCCAACAAGATGGACTCTCACACGTTCATGAAGTTGCCTTATACCGAGTTGTGCCATCAGTCCCTCAAGGTCAGCCTTGTCTACTCTAACTGGAAGCTGTTCTCCAGGGCAGTGGGGAGGCATTTGGGGGCAATGCCCCCCACAGATGAGTGTAGCCCCCCCATGGACAATTTTTTTTAAAGAAAATTTTTTTAATATAAGATGCCTGTGAGGTTTCCAAAATGACCCCGGGCACAGTCAGGGAAGCTTCAGTCTCGTTTTCTTTTTTTCTGGGTCGAAAAATAAATAGGTTTTTTGAAATGCAAAGATAGATAGATAGATAGACAGTTCCCCAGGAGTAACTGGATGCTTTGGAAGGTGGACTCTGTGGTATCGTATCCAGTGAGTTCCTGTCATCCCTGAATCTCCAAGAGTCCCCCAACCAGTTGGTGGCTGGCGATCTCCTGGGATCACAACTGATCTTCAGGGGACAGAGATCAGTCCACTTTGGAAGGAGGATTCCATAGCATTGTATACTGCTGAGGTCCAGGCCCGTAGCCATGGGGTACCTCCCCCAGATTTCCCCACGCCCCACCAACCAAGATTTTCTGGCTATACCCCTGCTCCAGATTCTCAAGTAAAGAGGTCTTTCACATCACCTACTGCCTGGTCCTTTTAGGTGAACATGCCAGGGATTGAACCTGGGACCTTCTGCGTGCCAAGCAGAGGCTCTTCCACTGACCCGCAGCTCCCTCCTTGGGCATCAGGCCGCTTTATATATCCCTGCAGATTATCACAGTCATCTGGTGGCTGTGCTGATAAGGGGCTCCAGCCCAGTAGCAAAGCTTTTTTTTTACTCACCGATGATCCCGGACTTCTTTTCTCCCTTCAGCAAAACGATGGGCAGTTTACAGTGATCCAGCTGGTGGGGATGTTGCGGGGCATCGCGGCTGGCATGAAATACCTGGCTGACATGAACTACGTCCACCGCGACCTGGCAGCACGCAACATCCTGGTCAACAGCAACCTCGTCTGCAAGGTCTCGGATTTCGGCCTCTCCCGCTTCCTGGAAGACGACACCTCCGATCCCACCTACACCAGCGCCTTGGTAAGATGCAGGGGGGAAGGCCCTTCCAAAGGGTTCCTGTGAAAAACAGCAGATAATTGATAAGTAGCTGCTAGGGTTGCCAAATCCAGGCTGGGAAATAATTGCAGCCTGGGAAGGAGCTCAGCAGGGGTGGGATGCCATAGAGTCCATCCTCCCCAGCTGTCGTTTTCTCCAGGGGAACTGATCTCTGTAGTCTGGAGATGAGTTGTGCTTCCGGGAGATCTCCAGGCCCCACCTGGAGGTTGGCAATGGTGGTGGTTACTGAGTGCCTTAAAGACTAACAGTTTAAGAGCATCAGAAGCGGTCCTTGCTTTTTCAGGTATTTGAAGAGTAAGCTTTGCCTTGTATTTTGAAGGTGCCGTTGTATCGGCACGACGGCAGTTCCTCCGAGGGAGTGGCATTTTTTTTGCCAGAGAAGGGAGGGCTAAAATGATGGAAATGAGGCTATCGTACTTTGGTCACGTCATGAGAAGACAAGTCACAAGAAGAAGATGAAGAAGAAGGGACCGCCTTTCCCCACATGTTCCCCCAAGGGCACTACGGTCGGGGGATCAAAACCTCCTGGATGTTCCAGGCCCCAAGTCCATCAAATTTGTGATGACCAGGGCTAGGGCGTTTTCGGTGGCGGCTCCTATCTGGTGGAATGAGCTCCCAGGGGAGATCCGGGCCCTGCGGGACCTTGTACAGTTCCGCAGGGCATGTAAGACGGAGCTCTTCCGCCAGGCTTTTGAATAGGAGTCGCCACCACCATTGTTCCATCAATGCCCTATACTCTCCGCACACTGCCACCGCTGGTGCGGGTACCATCGGAGGGAGCGGGACATGCTTAGGGGACAACACGGCAGGGGGGAAAATGCACTGCTGTTGCTGTATAGCTATACGACTGAGAACACCATCTTGATTGTAAAATTTGGAATTGAGTAGGGGAGCACCGAACTGTTTTATGAATTTAACTGTTTTGTATTTCTGTGAATTTTATACTGGTTTTATTGTTATTATTTGGCGTATGCCCTTGTTAGCTGCCCTGAGCCTCCGGGGAGGGCGGGATATAAGTTTAAACAAACAAACAAATAAATAAATAAGAGGAGGAGGTGGAGATTGGATTTATACCCTACCCTTCACTACCTGGAGGAGTCTTAGAGTGGCTTCCAATCTCCTTTCCCTTCCCCTCCCCACAACAGACACCCTGTGAGGCAGGTGGGGCTGAGAGAGCTCTTTCGAGGACTGCTCCTGAGAGAACAGCTCTGAAAACTTGTAATTGACCCAAGGTCACACCAGCAGCTGCATGTGGAGGAGGAGGAGTAGAGAATCCAACCTGATTCTCCCAGATTAGAGTCTGTGCTCCTAACCACTACACCAGACTGGCTACGAAAATTCAAAGGCAGCAGGAAAAGAGGAAGACCTGAGCATGGCTGTAAACAGTAGAACATTATGGAGGACATTAATTTGTAGGGTCACGAATTGACACCACTTAACAGCCCCGCACATACTGGAACTGTCTGTTAAGGACACTTAATGTTTATATGGCGCTTCCAGCACTCTGCATATATCGTCACAGTAATCTAGCCGTTCGAAAGCAAGAAATTGCAAGTAGACAAATAGGGACCACTTCGGTGGGAAGGTAACAGCGTTCCGTGCGCCGTGGTGTTTAGTCATGCCGGCCACATGACCACGGAAACGTCTTCGGACAGCGCTGGCTCTTCGGCTTTGAAACGGAGATGAGCACCGCAACCCTAGAGTCGGATTCGACTGGCTTTCGAGCAAGGGAACCTTTACCTTTAATCTTCACAACAGCCCTGTAAGGCAGGCTCTTGTTGGTATACACCTGTTGAATATAGGGGACCAGGATAGAGCAGGTTGCCCTGGGGCCACCTTCCGGAGTTTGAGGCCAGGGGAAAGCCTACATTTCCACTCTCCCGGATCATAGCATAGCCACGACATCAGTTCTGCTGTGCTGTTGTCCTAAGCCCAGGCCTGGCATTCCTAGGCTCCCTGACTGGCTATCCCAGCTGTTCACTACCAACATCCTCAAGCGTGTGTCACTGGCTTCTGCTTCCTGCCCAGAAGCAACAAACAGAAGGATTGTTCAGAGTCTTTAAAGAAATGCCTTAAACCTTCGATAAGAGAAAGAAAGTTCACGAGAACAGGTCTTGCGGCCACTATTAGCCACAAGAGCGAAAAGGAGCTTCTGTGTTCCGTGGAAGGATGCTTTTGAATTCCCAGTCTAGGGAGTCTTTACTTACTTTGACAAGCCTTTATTGGCATACGTATATACATACAATAGGAGATCAGATTAAGTATAGATCGGAAAATACAAATCCATATAGGGTAAAATTGGAGCTACGGCGCAGAAAAACAGCATGAAAGCAGAAAAACCTAATGGTTACTTATCAGAACGTATAGCCATAGCACTAAGAACAAACCTTGCTACTATTTCAGTTATTTCTGTATCTTGATTATCAAGCAAAAACAGAACAAAATCGTCAGAAATCTCTGAGAATTGAGCTAATATAGGATACAGAAGATCCTGGCCAGAGGCAGTGTTCCCTCTAAGCTGAGTTAGTGTGAGCTAGCTCACAGTTTTTTAGCCTCCGGCTCACACATCTTTGTCTTGGCTCAGGAAGGAGGGCTCCAGAGCAAACTAATCGATGCAGCAGCCAAATCGCTCGCTCACAACTTTAATGCCAGTAGCTCACAAAGTAGAATTCCTGCTCACAAGACTCCACAGCTTAGAGGGAACACAGAGCACCAGATAAAAGGGACATTGAAGGAGAATCATTCAAGAATCATAGAATCATAGAGTTGGAAGGGACCTCTGGAAGGGATCATCTAGTCCAGCCCCCTGCACAATGCAGGAATTTCACAAATACCTCCCCCTCCACACCCACCGTGACCGCTGTTCCACGCCCAGAAGATGACCAAAAAAACCCTCCAGGATCTCCAGCCTAACTGGCCTGGAGAAAAAATAATTCCTAACCCCAAAGTGGGGATCAGCATTTCCCTGGGTGTATAAGAAAAAGCCACAGGAGCTGAGCACTGACGCAACCCTGCCTGCCCTCCCTCTCATGATCTGCCTAAGTTCACAGAATCAGCATGGCGGTCAGATGGCCATCTAGCCTCTGATTAAAACCTCCCAAGAAGGAGAGCCCACCACCTCCCGAGGAAGCCTGTTCCACTGAGGAACCGCTCTAACTGTCAGGAAGTTCTTCCTAATGTTTAGCCAAAAACTCATCTGAGTTGCCCTCTTTATAGGCTTCCTAGAGCTGACCACCATTGGAAACAACACGTTGGGGGTGATGGGATTTAGTCTGGTCCAGCAGGGCAGTCTGTCCGTGGCAGTGAAGACGAGGCTTCTGGTTGTCATTGCCCCGATCATCCTCGGCTCCTCCTGGTCTCCCCTGGCACTCCCTCACACGTGGAACAACTGAAAAATGCAGAGGTTTCTCCACCAGCCGGACACACACTCCACTCATCGAAGAAGAAGGGATTATAAATTGTTAACGTCGCCATGCAGCATCTGCGCTCGGAAGCAGAGTGCCCCCGTGGAGGCATCATTGGCGTCTTTCACAGGCATCAGCGCTCTCAGCCACAAAAGGAAAGGCAAGTTCAGGCCAACGTGTGACCCAGATACTGTGCCCCGCAACCCTCGGATTCATCGTTCCAGAAGAAGAGTTTGTTGTCTTGACTTTGTTTGGGCTGCTTGAAGCTGCGGTCATTTTCGGCAAGGGTCAGGTCGCCTTCTGAGCCAGATGGAGCTGTCCACATCTGCTTCGAGGCAATTTGGACCTCCTGGTCCTTGCGCCGAGGAAGACTGATTTGGGTTGCCCTGGCGGATTCCTGTAGGAGAGCTCTGCTTCCAGCCCAGCCATTACCGTGAAGCCCGCCGATTGTTTCAAAGGCTCATAAAATAAGATACGATTTGGAGAAAGTCGATAAGAGAGAACTCGGTCTCTCACGGAAAACGAAACAAAACAGAAGTCCAGTGGGATCTGTAAACACGAACAAGATTTATTCTGGGATTGTTGGTCTTTAAGTTTTGGTTTGTTGAAAAAGGCTGACACGGCTAAGCCTCTGGAACAGTTCTCTGAAGATAGCAGAACTTGAAATCAGCTGGCGAAGTTCACTGAGGAGAGACAAAAAGAAAGCACACACAAACACACACCCACATACACACACATACACTAGTTGAAGCTGTGGAATTCACTAAGTCAAGATGCTCTCTGCTTGAAAAGGGGCTTGGGTGAGTTCACGGGAGATAGGTCCATCAGTGGGTATCAGTGGAAAGTCCTGTCAAGTCACAGCAAACTTATAGTGACCCCTGGTGGGGTTTTCAAGGCATGAGTTCCGAGGTGGTTGGCCATTGCCTGCCTCTGCCTAGCAGCCCTGGACTTCCTAGGTGGCCTCCCATCCAGGTACTAACCAGGGCCAAACCTGCATAGCTTCTGAGATCTCACAAGACTGAGCTGGCCTGGGCCATTGGTTGTTAGCCACAATAACTAAATGGGATCTTTGTGTGCGGAGGCCGTATATCTCTGGATACCACCTGCCGGGGGCAGAGGTCATTTTGGGGGGATCGCGGGGGATCGCAGTTCCCCCGGGTGAGGTACAGGGGGCGGGGCACATGACGAAGCCCCGCCCCCTGCTTCCGGCCGCCCCACTTCTGGCCCTCATTCAGCCAGGAGGAGGCAGGAGAAGAGGGATCCACCGCCGGGCCCCTCATGGGGCTCGGCAGTGGAGCTGCAAGGCCGGCGGCGGCCGGGACCGTTGGGGGTGGTGTGTGTGGCCTTATGACACACTTCCGGTGACGTCAGGGGGTGTGGCCTTATAGCACACTTCCGGTGATGTCAGGGGGTGTGGCATATGCTAATGAGTTATGCTAATGAGTTCCCCTAGCTCTTTTTCTACGAAACGACCCCTGGCCGGGGGTAATAACTGAGGGACACTTTGGCCTCCATGCAGTGCTCATAGGTCTTCTGAGTGCATCTGCTCAGCCACCGTGGGAAACAGAATGCTTCAGTAGATGGACCATTGGTATGATTCAGCATGACCGGTCTTCTGTTCATACGGCATTGGGTTTCCCTTTGACTGAACGAGTGCGCCATTTTGCACCCATGCGGATAAAGCCACAAGAGAATTGATTGCCAGGGCAATACCTGGGGCTCTCTGTGGTTTCCCAGTTTGGCTTTACAACAAATGGCATTCTGGCAGTTCTTAGAACGGGGTGGAGTCCCATGTGGGACACCAGAAATATCCTTCCTCAATCCCTTTATGAATCAGGGAGGGGGGTGGAGGCAAAGCACTGAGTGTTTGATGTAGCCTGAATTTTATTCAGAAGGCATTTCAGGTCTTTATCTTCTGGTTTTTCTACTTTTAGTGCTGACTTATTGCTAGCGTCATGTTTTAGTTGACTGCTGTTTTAATTGTGGTTTTTATGCTGGCTTCTGTTTTTTATGAATTGTGTTTATATGAATGTTCTTAGCTGTTCCTTTTATTGTTGTGCTGTTTTTTATGAATTGAGTTTATATGATTGTTTTTAGCTGTTGCTTTAATTGTTGTGCTATTTTACAACTGATTTTTAAAATTTTTTTTAAAAAGTATTGCTTTATCTTTCTTTTAATTTGGTGGTTGTAATAAGCTACTTTGGCTGTTAATGCAATATCCAAAAGGTGGGGCATACATTTTTATTTATTTACTTAATTTATACTCTGCCTTTCTGCCCAGTGGGGGCCCAACGCTGCTTAAATTATATTCCTCTCCTCCATTTTGCCCTCACAACAACCCTGTGAGGTAGGTTAGGCTGAGAGTGTACAGGTGGCCCAGAGTGACCAGTGCATTTCTGTAGCAGAGATTCAAACGTGAGTCTCCCAGGTCTGAGTCTCTAACCACTATACCACACTGGCTCTCTAAAGGAAACGAAGTATAAAAGAAAAAGGAAAGAAAAATGGTCTAAGATACGCTGGCTTAGAAAGGCAGATGTATTTGGGGAAGGAGTCACAACTTTGAATACCACTATCTGTTCCACTTGACTAGTCTGAAAACACCCTCTGAATATCCTCTGATTCTCCCCCCCCCCCACTCTGCAGGGTGGGAAGATCCCAATTCGCTGGACAGCACCCGAAGCCATCCAGTACCGGAAGTTCACTTCCGCCAGTGACGTCTGGAGCTACGGCATTGTCATGTGGGAGGTGATGTCATATGGGGAACGGCCTTACTGGGACATGACCAATCAAGACGTAAGTCAACGGATAGTGCAGTGAGCTTGGGAAGTCACTTCGGTGTGCCACCCAATGTGGTTCACAGATCTTCTGTGGGTGATCGTGTCTGTCTTTGTGCCAGTCAGCTGTCCTGCTGGTTTTGAGTCTCAGACCTTCTGGCAGGAGCAGCTGTCAGAGTCAACATTACTTAAATAGATAGACCACTGGGCCAAATTCAGAATAAGGGGAGGAGCCTTGGCTCAGGGGTAGAGCACAAGCTCTGCAGGCAGTTGGTCCCAGGTAAAAGGATCTCAGGTAAGAGGTGTGGTTAGCTTCTGCCTCGCTCTGCTTAGGATCCTGGAGAGCCACTGCCAATCAGAGAAGAAGATACTGAGCTAGATGGACCAATGGTCCTGGGCGTGGTCATGTGACTGCTAGGATATGTTCAAACATATGTGTGTTTCGTTAGACATTTCTGCTGACAGGCTGTCAGGTGAAGGTGTTCCTAGGAGTTTGGGAGATATTTCGATCCCAATACCTTGATCTGAATACCTTTTTAAAATTATTTTTATTTAATACATGATAATAAATACAAAATAAGGAGCTCCTTACATTACTAAATATAATTAAAAAACAGATCAACACACACAAGTGGATTTCTTCTTTACTCTCAAATAATTCTTTTGACATTACATAATAAGGAGCCCCATGTGCTTCCCAACCATTACATTCTTTCTTATTAACCAAAGCAATAAGCCTAACTAACTTCAGTATCTCTTAAATTTTTCTTGGAAGATACTTTGTCTTCGTAAAACTTAGCCAAGTAGGATGGAAATTTTCTTTTTTATTGGATTTTCCACAGTAATCATAAGGGATTTTTTTTTGTAAGTGTACCAAATGCAGCCTAATGAAGTCCTTTTGGGAATAGATCCAGACTGAGCACAACACAAATTTCCACATTTCCTAGAGAAAGCTTTTTAAAAAAACACACACACAAAGCTTGCTTTCCATGCTTTTATGGGGTGAGAAGACCATTATCTTATGCTTAAAGAACCGTAACTGAAGAACTCTCGCTGAGACATTTCCAGTAGACCAATGAAAGTCACTGTATCCAAGGAGGTATTTCTTTCCCCATCTGATCAGGATACATTTTATTTTTATCATGAACGATCACAGTTTGAGAGTACCCGGATGGAGCTGATAGGTAGCAGGTTCAAGACAGGCAGAAGAAACTTCTTCACACAAAGGCACAACTCCGTCAGGGAATTCACTGCCACAAGATGCGGCCGCTAGGTCAGATGGCTTTACAAAGAGGGATTCGAGCAATCCACAGAGAGAGATCTATCAATGGCTATTAGCTATGACAGCTAGATGGAACCTCTGTGTTCAGAGGTAGTCTGTCTCTGAATAGCAGTTCCTGGGAGGCAATAATAGGGAAAGGTTTTGCCTTCCAAGCCCCATTTGTAAGATTTCTGGAGGCCTCGAGTCACACAGAAAAGCCAGAAGCTGGTCCAATCCCGAGGAGCCTTCTCGATCTCGTTACAGTGTGCTTTGAGGCCGCTCCGTTATAATCCCCGTCAAAAAGTTATTTGGGGCTGGGTTCATTTGCGACTTGTTTGGGTGTGAACGGCATTAATTTGTGCGAGCGGCATCGATTCTCAAAGTAGTGTTTAAGCACCTGTCCATCTAGAGACCGGTTCGCCAGCCATTCTGTCTCTCTTTGTCTGTTAACTGCAGACCGCTGGCCCCACCACCACAGACACTATGCGTTCCCCCCCCCCAATCAAACCCCAGGAGCTCTGTCCCCAGCTGTCCGCGCAAATGTCCTGTCAGAGACATGAACTGCCTTCCCTTCTGCTGGTCTTCACAGCCAGGGCCGGGGAAGCTAATCGGTGGTGAGAATTAGGAACAGGCCCCTCTTGCCAGGGAGATCGGTGTCAATTAGACAGCGAGAGAGTCGGGGTGGAATACCCTGAGGCAGGAGGAGGCAGGAGCGGCGCGGAAGGAGAAAGACTTGTGTTTACATAGGAGAACATGGAAAGCTGCTTTAGGCCGAGGCAGACTGTTGGTCCAGGTAGCACAGAATCGTCTGCCCCGATGGGCGGTGGATCCCCAGGGTTTCACAGCCAAACAAGACAACACCACATGCCATGGTGGGGACACAGCACCATTTTGCAGCCTGGCTCATGACCTTTCAAAGTGCAGCGGGGGCATGATGTGGCCAGGGATGGGGGGTTTCTGCCTCCACCCCCATGCCATTTCCGAGAGCCCAAACGATGGACCCAGACCTAACTTGTCCTGGAAAGTATTGTGCAGTTTGGATCTAAGGCACTTCAAAAATGCAGCTGCTGCTAGACTGGATTGTTGCAATCGGTGATTCATATTCATATTCATACAGGCCCCAAAGAGCACTTCAGTCGGGGTCACAGCACCGTTTAGTGACCCCGGGCCCTAAAGAGGCCAGGCTAGCTACCACGAGGGCCAGGTCCTTTTCGGTGGCGGCCCCTATCTGGTGGAATGAGCTCCCGGAGGAGAATCAGGGCTCTGCGGGACCTTTTACAGTTCCACAGAGCCTGTAAGACGGAGCTCTTCCGCCAGGCTTTTGAGTAGGGGCCGCCACTGCCAATACGACCACCGCATATATGCGGAGCAGGACCGTCGGGGGTGGGCCGATGAGTAATTGGAACATCATGGCTCATGTAGTCTCCCTTCGGATTTTGATCTTGGACCTCCTCCTGACACGCAATGGAGAGTGTGCAATTTTAGTCCTTCATGTATCCTGTGAGTTGTTAATGTTTTTAGCCTCTGCTGTTTTAATGTATCTGTTTTATAGCACCTTGTGCCCTGTAAGCCGCCCTGAGCCTGCGTACGGGGAGGGCGGGATAGAAATGGAATGAAATAATAAATAAATAAGGGAAGTTACCTTTCACCAAGTCAGACCATTGTAGGGTTGCTAAGTCATCGCTGGTAACTGGCAGGAGACTTACCTTGCATGCTCCCGGAAGCGATGTCAGCATGTATGTTACCAGGGATCAGCCCCGTAGCCATTAAAAAAAAAAAACATTGCACACCCCTAGTGCTGACCCTGCTTAGCTTCTGAGATCTGATGAGATAGGTGTGTATCAAGCCACCTTACCTTTCAGTTCAAAGGGTACAGAAGAAATCCTCACTTAAGGGGGTTTCGCCAATCCCAGCCCTTCTTTTAATGAGTTACCAAAGTCAGATGACTTCAGTTTGTATTCGTTCATCACTTTCTTCTCATAGAACAGTGATGGCGAACCTTTTAGAGACCGAGTGCCCAAACTGCGACCCAAAACCCAGTTATTTATTGCAAAGTGCCAACACGGCAATTTAACCTGAATACTGAGGTATTACTTTAGAAAAAACAACCGATACATTAACTTAAGATGATCCAAACAAAGTAAGGAAAGCAATCCCAAATGCTTTCATTTACTTAAAATTATTTGGCAGAGAATTCGACACTTTAATGATGGTCTAGGCCTGGCTGGGGTGATGGCACGTGTGCCCACAGAGAGGGCTCTGAGTGCCACCGCTGGCACCCGTGCCATAGGTTCGCCACCAATGTCATAGAAATTTGTAACATGGTTGTAACAGGGAGGTGGGATACTGTTGGCGGCCAGTCGGCAGGTTTTAAAACAGTATAATCTTAAAGCTGCACACTCCAGTGTTTTGGCAAAGTGAAGGGCTTAATGGCTGTGTACTGACCTCCGTAGGGGCTTTTGTCTTCCAGGTAATAAATGCCATCGAGCAAGATTACCGGCTGCCACCTCCCATGGACTGCCCGAGTGCCCTGCACCAGCTCATGTTGGACTGCTGGCAGAAAGACCGCAACCACCGGCCCAAATTCGGGCAGATAGTCAACACCTTAGACAAGATGATCCGAAACCCAAACAGCCTGAAAGCCATGGCACCCCTCTCCTCGGGGTAAGCTGCTCTTTTCCCAGAAAGAAAATTCTACAAGAATTCCTGGATGTCAATATCTTCAGGTGTCCACTAGAGACAGTTCCATTTGGCTGGTTGGGTTGTCCATTGTACATGATCCCTCCCCTTCGCTGCATTTTTGATCCATGGAGATGACCAAACGGGTCTTGGATATTGTCCTTGGTCTCCAGTAGGTCTCCAGATTCGGTATAGTCTAAAACTCCAAAACTTTCGATAAGTTTTTGGCCAGCAATAGCTGAGGCCCCTACCACACACGAGTGCGTCCACAACTCACCTCGTAATTACCTCCGTTTTCTGAGCTGTCTTGGAGAACTCTGAGAACTTCCCCAAAGAGTTCAGAATGTTGGTGTACCCTAGGAAGCTCTCTACCAATCTCTACTTTCCCCAGCATACTTAATGACCCTGTTCATTGAAACAGAAGATACGGGAAATGCCCATGCATTCCAACAACAGTGTACGCTATTGCACCTGTTCAGGAATATCTAGTCATTGAAAGCTGGGTGGGCTATCTTAAGATTTGGTACAGAAGCCACTTGGAGTCCAGTCTTTGGAGAAAAGCAGAATATAAATACTATTTTAACTAAACCAAATAGACCATCCTGGCTGGTGTCAGCCCCTGATCTGTTGTGGAATAGCAGTCTCGGTTCATAAGGGCTCGAGTGTGTCATTACGAGCCCTGCCCTGCCGAACTTTGGTGACTGCCCTGAGCAGCATTTCAGAGTGTTTCTGCAAGACAGTGAGCTGTCATCTTAGAACTAGCCCAAAGAAAGGTTCCAGGATTTTAAAAAAAATGGTTATGAGCAATGTTCCCTCTAAGCTGTGGAGTCTCGTGAGCACAAATTCTACTTTGTGAGCTCCTGGCATTAAAGTTGTGAGCGAGCCATTTGGTTGCTGCACAAATTAGTTTGCTTTGAGGCCCTCCTTCCTGAGCTGAGGCAAAAATCTGTGAGCTGGAGGCTAAAAAACTGTGAGCTAGCTCACACCAACTCAGCTTAGAGGGAACACTGGTTATGAGCCTTGATATGTTCTGGAACTCTGCAGGTAGGCATGAGGGATATTTGCATTAATGTTCCTATGCAGGGGAATAATCCTGCTCAAGCAATATGGTGAAGATGCACCTTTAGGGTTGGGAATGAGCTTTTCCAGAACTTTTTGGACTTATCTTGCAGAATCATTCTTGCCATGAGAGATTCCTGCCCTGGGAGGGAACTGGAAAGAGGCACCCGAGAAAGCTATTCGTTACGCTTGAATCTTTGAAAGAATTCTGCCAATTTGGTGTTTTGATGGGAAAGTGTTCTTCATACCATACTAGGTTCCGGTTGGGGACACTTACTGTGCCAAAGCAAGTTCCGTTCTGATTCGTCTCTCTCCTCCTGTCTGATTCTGGGATTTCCTTTCAGGATTAACCTCCCCTTACTGGACCGCACAATTCCAGACTACTCAAGTTTCAATACAGTGGAGGAGTGGCTTGACGCCATCAAGATGGGCCAATACAAGGAGAGCTTTGCCAACACCGGCTTCACCAATTTCGATGTGGTCTCCCAAATGACCATGGAGTAAGTTTCAGAGTCTCAGAGAACAATCCTGTGCCAAAGGAAAGGGAGGAATTGACTCAAAGGTGGCATAGTGGATAAGAGCGGCGGACTCTAATTTGGAGAACTGGGTTCGATTTCCCCACTCCTCCACATGGAGCCTGTAGGCTGACCTCGGGCCAGTCACAGTTCTCGCAGGACTCTCTGAGCCCCCCCTACCTCACAAGGTGCCTCTTGCGGGGAGAGGAAGGAAGGCAATTATAAGTTGCTTTGAGTCTCCTAAAGGCAGGGCTATTTTTGGGCAGGAACGCACAGGAACGGAGTTCCGGCTGGCTCCAGAGTTGGCCACGCCCAGCAGGAACTCATTAGCATAATAGGCCACACCCAACAGCAGGAACTCATTAGGATTGGCTACATTAGGGGTGTGTGGCCTAACATGCAAAGACGTTCCTGCTACAAAAAAAAGCCCTGGGTTTTGACAACAAACAAGGTAAACAGAATAAGAAGCAAAAGGTGGGTGTGACTGGATGACCACACTTCTGGTAACAAGGGCTGTGTGGCCTAATATGCTAATGAGCTATCTGGGGTGTGGCCTAATAGGCAAATGTTTTTTTCTCTTGGGTGTGACCTATTTTGCTAATGAGTTCCTGCTGGGCTTTTTCTACAAAAAAAGCCCTGCCTAAAGGTAAAGAAAAGCAGGGCATGAAATGAAATTTTATCACAGCATCCAACCAGAGCAATCCAAACACTTCAGCAAGAGGCACCAAAATAAAATATTACGAAATATACAATATAAAAATATAGAGAAAAGCAGGGTATATAAAAAAACCCAACTCTTCTTTGTCTTCATCATAATTGGTATTCAGGCAAAGGGAAAGGCAGCCCTTCAGATATGTGGATCCCCAGCCATGTAATGTTTTGTTAGGGGTGTGCATTTTTTTAAACTGGTATTTTTCAGTTCAGGTCTATTGGACCCCCCCAAAAAAAAATAAATAAATATATATGGTATTTTTGAAAAATCTCAGGTCCCAGTACTGGTACGGTATTCGGATCGGGGATTTTTCAGAAATCCCATTTTTTCCCGGGTCTGACCTGAGGGCTGGCTTGGCTTCTCCTCCCAGCCCAGTTTAGACTGGGCTGCGGGAAAAGCTGGCCCCAGGATCCACTGTGCCATGGCTGGAGGATTGCTTCCTGTGCCACAGCAGCTTCTGAGGCTGGCTTCTGATGCAGCCCAGTTAAACTGGGTTGCACAAGAAGCCAGCCCCAAGCCAAGCCGGTGGAAACAGTCTGCTCCCCCCAGCACAGCTGATCCTTGGGCTGTCTTCTGCAGTCCCTTTAAACTTTAAAGGGACTGCAGTAGAAGCCCGACAAACAGCTGAGAGGCGAGAGCAATCTGCTCCTTCCTCTCCACTTTTTTCAGGTATACTGGTAATTCCTGAATATATCCGGGATTTTCTGATTCCCCCCCCCCCCCCGGTTTTCCCGAGAAAACTTGGATACATTTGGGAAGCCAAAATACACTCAGAAAATACCAATAACGTATTTTCTGGGTATATTTTCAGCTCGGGTAGACTCAAATACACACCCCTAGTTGTTGTTGTTGTTGTTTTTTAAAGGGTTAAAAGCAACTCCTTAATTTGAGTACGGCAGCCAACGCGACCACTCCAAAACCAGCATTATATGTTGTCAGAGTCGGGCCACTGAATGTCAAATGTAACCAGTGTTCCCTCTAAGCTGAGTCCGTGTGAGCGAGCTCACAGTTTTTTAGCCTCCGGCTCACACATTTTTGTCTTAGCTCAGGAAGGATGGCTCGAGAGCAAACTAATCTATGCAGTAGCCAAATCGCTCGCTCACAACTTTAATGCCAGTCGCTCACAAAGTAGATTTTTTTTCTCACAAGACTCCACAGCTTAGAGGGAGCATTGAATGTAACCCAGGGGTCGTTTCGTAGAAAAAGAGCTAGGGGAACTCATTAGCATAACTCATTAGCATATGCCACACCCCCTGACATCACCGGAAGTGTGTCATAAGGCCACACACCCCGCCCCCAACTGTCCCGGCCGCCACCGCCACCCTTGCAGCTCCACTGCAGAGCCCCACGAGGGGCCCGGCGGTGGACCTGCAAGGCCGGCGGGAGTGCAAGGAAGCCCCGCGAAGGCCCTCCCTGGCCCCAGGCAGGGGTGGGGAGAGGCAGGGAGGAAGCAACTTACCCTCCCTCTTCTCCTGCCTCCTCCTGGCTGAATGAGGGCCGGAAGCGGGGCAGCCGGAAGCATGGGGCGGGGCATCGTCATGTGCCCCGCCCCCGAAACCTCACCCGGGGGAACTGCGATCCCCCCCGAAATGACCTCCTTTTAAAACGTTGTCTTAGAAATAGTTTCATGAGAAAAATGTAAGAGGCTCAACCGAGAGTGCTGTTTAGTTTTTTAGCTGACTTATGGCCACCCCATGGGGTTTTCAAGGCAAGAGACATTTGGACGCGGTGTGCCACTGCCTGCCTTTGCCTAGTGACCTTACACTTCCTTGGTGGTCTCCTATCCAAGGACTAACCAGGGCCAACCCTGCTTAGCTTCCAAGATCTGATGCGATCGAGCTCGTCTGGGCCATCCAGATCACGGCTTATTGAGGGGAGAGTTCTAAAAAAAAACTGAGAGAAATATTGTTCACTGTTTTTCGGTACAGCCCCCTTCCCTTATTTCTCCATGGGTTTTCCGTCGCTATGCAAACAGTGAGATCAGGCATCTGCAGGGAGCCCTGCGGGTCTTTGAAAAGCAGCACTTCATTGTTTATAGAAATCCGGAGTGGTTTGGAAGCTCTGTCTGACTGACTTGGCAGAAGTCGTTTTTAATGAATAGTTCACGGCCATCCCAAAACTTTTCTGTCACTCAGCAGGCAGCCCGGTTCCTCATGACCTTGTTTGTTGTCGGTTTGTTTGTTGCAGTATCTAAAAGTACACTGACTGGCCCCTGTGTGGATAATGAAAACAGCACAGCAGGGCCACCTACAGAGAAGGAAGGGGTCTGTACCTACTCAGGGGTCTCCTTGGGTACGCAGAAAAATACGACCATGCAAATTAACCATGAGAGGGGAAAAAATAATAAAAATGATTCCTCGTGGACTGCTAGCCTGTTGCTATACTGAGTACTAAAACAGCAGGCCTCCATTTTGATAACAAAAGCAACAAGACTGGATCATCCACAGATGAGGGAGGGGTTTCTACATACTCAGGAGGCTTCCTCAGAATGCAGGAAAAATTGACTTTGTAAATGAACCAAAAGGGGAAAAAATACCCAGCAAATGGCTTGTTGATGGCTGAGCATGTTCCAGGAGGCATGGGATGTTGACAGCAGTTGAGTAATTCCAGGGCTGGGGACTAAATTTTATAAGATCAGACCATGAAAACTTACAAAATCCTGGGAAGAGAGAGTGGGTTCAAAATTTTAGGATTGCCATCCCTTGGTTGGTAACCCCAGGAGCATTGCAGGGCGGAGACTTCTAAGGTGTGATGTCCTGTCTTGAAACAGGAAATTATGTCATGGTACTCTAGGGATTTCAAAATTTTCTATAGTTTTTACCATAGAGATTCTGAATCACGATACCACTTCCTGTTCTGAAACAAGATAGGTAGCCCTGTTAGTCTGTCTGTAGCCGTAGAAAAGAGCAAGCGTCCAGTAGCACCTTAAAGACTAACAAAATATGTGGCAGGGGAGGAGCTTTCATGAATCGAAAGAAGTGAGCAGTGACTCACGAAAGCTCCTACCCTGCCACATAGTTTGTCAGTCTTTAAGGTGCTACTGGACTCTTGCTCTTTTTATACTGTTCTGAAACAGGAAGTGACATTCGGCCATCAATTGACTCTGTTCTCCTCATTCCCAAACCATTTTTCTGAGCAAGATCAGGGGATGGGGAGCATCGCCAGGCACTTCCCCAACCTAACAGGTAAGTGACAATCCTGTACAATGTCCGGATTGCTACAGGATGCTGGACTAGATGCACCATTGGTCTGATCCAGCAAGACTCTTCTTATCAGGGGTCATTTCATAGAAAAAGAGGTGCAGGAGCTCATTAGCATAACTCATTAGCATATGCCACACCCCCTGACATCACTGGAAGTGTGTCAGAAGGCAACACCCACCGCTCAGGCTCCACTGGACTGTTTTGGATTGCTAGCTATGGGGGGGTGGAACGTGCAGATTTGTCCTAACAGAGGAGGGAGAGCTTGTACCTGAATAAAACTTGGTCTTAAAGGTGCCACTGGCCTGTTTTGGGGGGCGGGGCTTGGGGGGGGGGTGCTCTGCAACTTACCTAGCTGCTTCTTGCTCTGACTGAGGGCTGCTGGGAGCAGGGGGTGGGGCTTGTTGCATGTGCCCACCACCTGGGCTCTTTACTGCCGGAGCTCCGCTCCTGTGCGCTCCTGCAGGAAATGACCCCTGCTTCTTATGTTCTTATTCACTGTGGGACCCCAGCTCATTTATTATATTTAGAAGATCGGTATCCCACCTTTATGCCCATGCAAACGGCACACAATGTGCGGCTCACAGCATGATACGAAAATGCTATAAAACCAGATCGTTCGCAATCTGAAAGTTCTATAACGCCAGCCTGTGACAAAAGGGAATCAATCCTAAAAGCAAGAAAAACCACGCATTTGAAAAGGAAAAAGCAGCAATCGGTCATACAGTTAGCAGTGGAATCTACACTATATAAAGACTTCTGGAAATATAAATGCCAAATGCTGTCTGGAGTTAAAATCATTTTTACGGGTCTCAAGGCCAGAGGGAAGAGGGTCTGATGGCTCTCCTGTGGCAGAGGATTCCATAGGCTGGGGGCCATGGCTGAGCAAGCCCCCTCCGGCCAACCTGTCAAGGTCATTTCTGTTAATGCTGGTGCAGCCCCGTAGCTAGGGAATTCTTTGGGAGGGGGCCTCAGGGGGCCTGCCAGCTAATTAAATGAAAGTACAGTGCAGGTGGTAAGTTTGGGGGCAGCCCAGGAGGGAGGGGGCCCAGAAGAAACACTAGGGGGCTGGGCCCCGTGGGCCCCATGTTAGCTACGGGCCGGTGCTGGTGTGCAAAACAAAGCGCCAGCCACCATTTTTTAGATGACCAGCATATCCCCCTGGTCTGTGGAGGTCCATCAAGTATTCTAGTGCCCAAACCTCTTGACAGCTTTGATGGTCAAAAACGTCACGGTGAATTGAGCCGAATTTTTTGTCTTCTGTTGTGTCTTTTGTGTGTGTGCCGCAGGGACATTCTGAGAGTCGGGGTCACGTTAGCAGGGCACCAGAAGAAAATTCTGAACAGTATCCAGGTGATGCGCGCACAGATGAATCAAATCCAGTCCGTGGAGGTTTGAGAAGCGCACGCTGTTGCTCGCACACCACCTCCTTGAGGCCCCAATCCCCTTTTGTCCCCATGTGTCTTGCAGCTCTTGCGGGCCCTGCGTACCCCCCTACGGAGACAGCGGCTGCGACAGGGAAAGGAACGGCCCCAAGGCAAAGTTGCTGCAGACTTTGAGAATCCCACCCCAAAAAGGTTGCAAGGATTTTCTTTAGAAGGATGTTGAAAAACGACAGGCACGGCCATGGCCTTTCTTTTCCCAAGGGCTTTGAGACAGGCTGGGGAAGGGATTGCAGAGTGGCGCCTCTTCCATTGCATGAGCCGTTTCAGCCGTGGGACCAGCTGTCTCCTGGAGTGAAAAGTGGACCGGAAAGTCTGGGAATGGCGGGTTGGGGGGAGAACCAAACTGCACGTCCCTCCAACTTGCTGGGGATGGGCTCCCCCTGGCAGCCAGCAGCTCATCGACGGGCTGCAGAGGGACAAGAATTAGCATTTTCCCATGTAATGGGTCAACTGTTTTTCAACAGCAACGGGCTACAGGGCCGAAGAAGTCTTTCGAACTTCCTTTTCCTTTGAAGGACTGAAACCAGAAGTGTGGTTTTTTTCTTTTCTTTTCTCCCCCACCCCTTCTTTGTGGATGAACAAGAATCTTTGGCCCTAACCGGGGAGAAGAAATTCGGGGGGAATTTTCGGAGGTCGTTGTTCTGCGTTGCGCTGGGACTGTTTTGTGTGTGGCGCTTCCCAGAGGCTCCATCCTCCCTGCACTGCCTGGTGGCAGTTCCTACATATCATATGCACAAGACATCCACAAGGCCTCACTAGAATTGCCAAGGACCTGCCCCCAGCAGGCATCTCCCCCCCCCAACCCCGCTCCCCGTGCCATGTTGTAGATTTGATGTGCATTTTCCATTCGGTTATTGTCGTTTTGAGGGGGGGGGTGAGAGAAACCCTTCGTTGTTTTCTTCTTTGTTTACAATCGTTTGCGGATTGGGGGAGGTGGGTGGCTTCTTTTGGGTTGTTCAGTTGAGTTTGTATGAAAGCAGGATGACATTTCCATTATCCTCGTCTCCCACTGACACACTTCGTCTCCTCACAGAGGGAACAAGATGGCTTCCTAGCTGGGCACCTCCATGGCAGGAACGGGGAGGGAGAGGGAAGCAAGCATTTCAGACATGTTCACATCTTCCTGTCAGCTCCATGTGGGTCGTTTGGAATGCCTGATGGTTCTTGCAAGACAGTCGGCTTGGCGGTTGTTTTCCCATGTTCGAGGAATCTTCACCTGCCCAACACAGAAGATCCAGTGGTGGAAATCAAGATTTTTTTAAAGAATACAAGAACTGCTCTGAGAACTAGTGAAGAAGATCAGCTAGGAGAAGGAGAGAGAAAGAGGACTGGAGCATAGTGCTGCAAGAAAGTCCTGAATTTATGTGTTGGCTATAGGGTGGGCAGTGCCTGGCAACTGGCAGGAGGGTTATGGGTGGGCATAGTCCAGGGAGAAAACTTAAAATCAAAATAAGGCCTCTGCTACTTACCAGACGTATTGACCATAGAGTTCCTGGCAGTTCCTAAACCTGCCTACAAGTGACAAGATTACGATAGCGTTTTTGGTGGTTGCTAGAGCTACCTTTATCACTTCTGGGTAGCTCTGGGAATCCTCAGGAACTCCGGTCAGAAGTTGCAGTAAGTATCTGAGGCCTTATTTTTCTTGTTAATTTTTCTCCCCAGAAGGATTGTGCCCCTCCACTTCGGCCCCAGTTTCCACTCGTCGATCCGCTGAACATTGGTGGGCAAGGAAGGGCTGCAATTGGCTAGAGGTTTCCCACCATATGCGGGCAAATGGGAACCCTAGTTGGGTAGATGTTTCCTAACGCCTCCATGGGTTGGCATTCGTCCTTCCGTGCTCACTTCAGTCGGCTCGGGGACATCTGAAATGGTGGAAAAGGGAGCTGGGGCAGGGTAATCTGCTTTGCTCTCACGTTAGGGCCCCAGTGAGGCACTAAAACTCCACAAGCATTCATGTACAGCCTTCCAGATTTCAGTCTTTTCCACCCTTAGTACTGAACCCAGATCCTCGTGCTTTGAGTATATAGGTCTCAAACCAGCTGTCATTGAAACTGGGCCTTAGTTGGGGGGGGTGAGAGGGGGCTAATTTGGTGCCGCTCATCTAGGGTTGCCAAGTCCATCTTCCACCCCCAGCGGGGGACTTTGGGGGCGTTCCTGGAGAGGGCGGGGCATCCCTGACGTGATGACGTCATGTTGGGGACCCCCGCCTGCCCCCCCACCCGCCCACGCGCCAGATCTCCAGAAACGGCAGTTCCCTGCACTTAAAGGAGCCGGTGTTTCCCTTTTAAGTGAAAAAGCCGGTGTTTCCCCTTTAAGAGCAGCCGCGTTTCCCTTTTAAGTGCATGAAGCTGGCATTTCCCTGCAAGCCTGATCTCAAGCGGAGATCGGGCTTGGGAGGAAACACGGGTTCCACACACTTAAAGGGAGAGAGAGGGGTGGCTGTGGGTGTTGGGGGTGGGGCTTCCCCCGCTGGCCATCTGGCCGGCGGTGGGTAGAACCCCCCCCAAAAAAAAACGGGGGACCCCTGGCAAACCGGGGGGGTTGGCAACCCTACGCTCATCCCTGCAGAGGCCTTTCCTCATGCAGAAAAGCCTGCCTTTGTAAAGGGGCCATTTTGGGAATGTTTGGAAGCTCTACCATGTCAGGGAAGGACTTGGGCATCACCTGAGCTTAACGTGAGGGTCTCCGTTTCTGCGAGACGGGCAGGTACCAGCGATGGTAATAGGTAGCCTGTGCATGATTTCCCTTTCAGGGCTGCAAGGGAGCCAGGCAGCAACACTCCTGGGCCGATTCTGGCCAATCAGGGATACTAGCAAAATATACACTGGCTAGTAGGCTGGGTGCGCCACTTGCCGGGCAGGGGAGAGAGGAGGAAAGACTTTGGACATGGCCCTGTTGAAAATCCCAGGAAACAAGAGGTTCGTCTCGATGCAGTGTGCTGCAATGGGACCTTGCAACTTGGTACAGGGGAAGATGTTCCTGTTAGAAACCTCATCTAATGTCCACCATTGCGTGTCCCTGCATGTCCTTTGCTGGACCCTGAAAGCCAAGGTTTATTCTTCAAGCTCTGTGACTTCTCTTTGGTTTCGGGAAGAAAAATTCATCATACCGTTCTTTACACCCAGAGCGAACTGATCTTTGCACTAAAGGTCCCCTCACCCTTATCTGTACTTCTGACTTAAGCCCAGTGAGTTCTTTTAGGGGGCGGGGGGGGGAGCAGACTGGAACACATGCATCTTACCTGACCCAGTCCACTGTGTGAGAGGGAGCACTGCTTAGATCAGCTAGCTCATAGTACAGGGCCATGTGCCCCTCTTATCACCCCTTTCTCCAATTGGTCAAATTCAGTTGGTAACACAGTAATAATTCTTGGCATTTGTATAGGGCTTTTGGTGTTCAAGGCATTTCATACACATGATCTTGTTTACCTAGCAGAAGTTCTGTAAGGTTAGCCCCGTGTAGGCTCGGTTCAGACACAACACCAAACTATGTTCTCTGGCACATGGGTTGTTTGTCACAGCTTGTAGTTGGGACACATCGGTTCCCTCCTGTTTCCCTCTAGCATGATGACGCTTCCATGCACCTCCCAGGTTTTTCCAGTCTTTCCTGCAGTCTTACCCCAACTCTCTTTGCTACTGCAATGTTTTGAGGAAAACTGCGGCAAAATCAGGACGTCAGTCATGTAGCTGGGAAGGGCCGGCTCTTCCCAGTTCACTCTCATTGGTGCCGTTTTCTCTGGCCAACACATGACTCATTTTAACAATGGTTCGTTTGTGAAACAGGATTCGGCTCAGAGATGATCGCACTCATCCTGGCTCATCTGCCGTTTTCAGCACCTTTGCTTCAGCCAAGAATTTTTGTAGCCAGGGAATGTGCGAGGGGGCGGTACCAAGCAGCAAGCCAGGATGGCCACATCTGTACATAACACAAAACCATAGTTAACAGTGCAGTAAATAAACTGACTCAAAATTGTGGGTTGAGATGCCAGTTTGGCAGACCCTGACAAACCATAGTTAGTAAAGCGGTCCACATTCAGGAGACCATATTAACGATAGGTTAATTAAGCCACGGGATCGTGTTATGTCTGAATCGAGCCATAGGAACCTTGCCATGGCCACCTAGTGAGTTTCTGGCAAAGGCAAGATTTCAGCAGGGGACCCACCGGAGTATGATTCCCCTAGCTCACTTCTTAGCCTCTGTGCCATACCACTGACATGAGCCTGCCCATATCAAATAACGGAGAACTGATATGGCGTGTATCCTACCACACCGCTCAACAAAGTTTGCAGCCACCCTTCAGCAAAGGAGCCTTTCTCCAACTGGCTTTTCAGGTCTTGCTAAGCAAAATGACAGGACACAAATCCCCTTCTTCAGCGTACAGTCTTCTCCGCCATGGCCCAGGCCTTCAAGTGGACGCCAGCAGAGAAAATGGTCCAAAGTCCCTTCTGCATGGTGTCTCGCCATGCATGATGTCCCCCTTCGTGTGCTGTGGCAGCACTTCCAATCCCGCCACGGGTTCACCCAAATGCTGCCGAGCGGAGCCTCGCACTCAACGCTTTTGGGGTCTCCCCTTCGCCTTCTCCCGTGCCTGCCATTACCACATTCTTTTTAGCAATCCTGGGTCTGGTACTGGATTGCCAATGTTACGTTCAACATAGCAATAAAAAACCTGAAGCTGTGAACCCACCCCACCCCAGCACTTAGAGACACTGTGAAAGGCTGGTTGCATAGGAGAGGCCCGTGCGTCCCAGACATTCCCAGACCTAGCATGAGACAGTAAGTACTTCAGGGAAGAGAGAAGGCACTTTCTAAATGCAAGCATTTCAAGAGGCTTCTCAGATATTTCACTGTGATTCTTTTTTGTCTTTCTTTTATAAAGCATAATGAGAACTCGGCTATTTATTGAAGTAGAATGGAACTGTTTTGGGTTAAAAGTTGCCGATTTAAAAGCTG